GCAGAACATCATTTGGAAACTGTACATGGATCCAGAGGAAGTCATTTGAATAGAACAAGGGGATATGGTGTGGTACAAAATAGGAAAAGGGGTGTAGCAGTGTTATGTCCTATCAGTCTACTTATTTCATTTGTATGTTGAAAGGAAAATCCAAGAAATTGGACTATATGAAGAAGAAGACAACATCAGGAGCAAGACTCATTAACAGTATTCAGTATTCAGATGGCCAAACCTTCTCACTGAAAGTGAAGGGGACTTGAAGCTCTTACTGATCAAAGTGAAAAATTACGGCCTTCAGTATGCGTTACACCTGAATGTGAAGATATGAAGATTCTCACAATTGAACTGATAAACAACATCATGATGAGTGAAGAAGAAATTGAAATTGTCAATTATTTCATTCTTCTTGGATCAACAATTAGCAACCATGGAAGCAGCAGTCAAGAAATCAAACTACTTATCGCATTGGGCAAATCTGCTGCAAAATACCTGTTTAAAATTCTGAAAAGCAAAGATGTCACTTTTATGATTAAGGTGCACATGACCAAAGCCATGATTTTTTAATTGCCTCATATACATGTGAAATCCAGATAATCAAAAAGGAAGACAAAGGAAAAATTGATGCATTGTTAACTGTGGTGTTGGCAAAGAATATTGACTACTCTGTGGAGTGGCAGAACAACAAACAAACCAACGTGAGAAGAAATACACCCGGAAAGCTCCTCAGAACTTAGGATGGTAAGTCTTTGGCTTGCTCACTTTGAACATGTCATCAAGAAAGACCAACTTCTGGAAAAGGACATCGTGGGAGGTAAAGTATAGGGTCAGTAAAAAGAAGGGAAACCCTCAGGAAGCTAGATTGACACAATAGCAACAAGAGTGGAATAAAGCGTACCAGTGGTCATGAGTCTGCTGTGGGACTGGGCAGCAGTTTTGTTTTGCTATACATTATGTCATCATGAATTGGAGCTGACTTGACAGTAATGACAACAGGGAAATTTTAAATATTACAAACTTAGTATTTTGATCAGAATAAGTTCTACTGTTATGAGATAACAATAATTTATCATGTGACATATGAGAAAGAGCAGCCCTCTCATTCTGAAGCACCAAATATCTGCTGAACCCCAGTACTCTCCACGCTGGTAAATGACTGTCAATGGACTAGGCACCTTGCAGAAAGCCTGTGGGAAGATGCTGGTTTCCACAATCTCCTTGAAAGGTTGTTTCTAAACCTCGCCTACACTCAGAGAATCACCTGAAAATCTTGTTAAATTGTAGTAGACAAGTTTCACATCCTAGAACCTCTGCGTCTGTAGGTCTAGAGAGAAACCTCATATGCTTTGCCTTTGTTTGGCTTTGTGGGTGATTCTGAAGATGGATCCAGCTTGGGAATCTGTTTCCTTCCCTCACCTCCATTCCCATCTCAACTTAATATCGAAGTACAGAACCAGATTAAGGCATTTGAGGGTCCTGGCATGCCCCTTCCTCTGCTTACTCATGCATTTGAATGGGATATGTGAATATATATATCTATATGCACTGCTATAGAGTCGGATCTGACTCGTAGCGACCCCTCCTTGGGTTTCCAAGGCAGTAACACTATGGAAGTAGATTGCCCAACCTTCTTTCTGAAGAGTGGCTGGTGGGTTTGAATAACCAGCCTTCTGGTTAGCAGTCAAGTGCCTTAGGCACTATGCCACCAGAGCTCCCTTATATATCTACATATATATATAAACAAAACTCACTGCCATGGAGTTGTTTTCAACCCACAGCGACCCCTCCTTGGGTTTCTGAGGCGGTATCTCTACGGAAGTATATTGCCCAATCTTCCTTCCAAGGAGTCCCTGGTAGGTTTGACCCACCACCAAAGTGGTGTTTGGTGTTAATGGTAATGCAGTATTGTGGATGTACTGGTATTAGCCTCTGTTGTCTATATCTTATGTGCACAGTTTTGTGTCCTGCCTTTCCCCAGTGTTGTCCTGCTGGTCACAGACTTTCCATACCATCCCTCCCCTTACGCACTTCAGTGTGCAGCCCCCAACTAGCCCAATATTATTTCCTTCCTTACCCTCCCCACCCTAGTAACCTACAAAGTGAGTTCTCTTCCATAACTAAACTCTTCCTTATCTTTTTACAGTAATGGGCTCGTACAATATTTTCCTTCTGTGATTGACTCATTTCACTCAGCTTAATGCCATTCAGGTGCATTCACATTGTGAGATGATTCACGTGCCTTTCATTGTTCTTTAACATAGCATCATAGTATTCCATTGTGTGAATGTACTATAGTTTGGTTATCCATTCATCTGCTGATGGGCATCTAGGTAGTTTCCATCTCTTTGCTATAGTGAATTGTGCTGCAGTGAACATTAGTATGCATATGTTTGTTTGTGTCCTGTCTGTCACCTCTCTAGGATATATTCCTAGCTATGTAAATGCTGGTCCAAATGATATTTCTATTTTCAGTTTTTTGAGGAAATGTCATACCATTTGCCACAATGGTTGTACCATTTTACAGTCCCACTAGCAGTGTATGAGAGTTCTAAACTCTCTGCAACCTCACCAGCATTTATTATTTTCTCTCCTGTTGAACTTTGCTATTATTGCTGGGGTAAGATGATATCTCATTGTTGTTTTGATTTGCATCTCTCTAATTGCTAAAGATAGCAAACAATTCCTCATGTGTTTGTTGACTGCCAGCATATCTTCTTCAGTGAAGTGTCTGTTCATGTCCCTTGCCCATTTTTGAATTGGATTGTTTGTCTTTTTGGTGTTGAGGTGTTGAAGAAGCCTCTAGTCTTTAATCTTCATCAGTAAAAAAATACCGTGGAATACCAGAAGAAGAAATTTGTCCTGGAAGAAGTGCAGCTAGAGTGCTCCTTAGAAGCAAGAATGATCAAACTTTGTCTCTAGTACTTTAGTCATGTTATCAGAAGGGGCCAGTCCCTGGAGAAAGTTATCAGGCTTGATGAAATAGAGGGTCAGCAAAAAAGGGGAAGACCCTCAATATGATGGGTTGACACAGTGGCTGCAATGATGACCTCAAGCATAACAAAGATTATGAGGATGGGGGCTGGGCAGTATTTCGTTCTATTGTACATAGAGTCACTATGAGTTGGGGCTGACTCTAATGGGAACTAATGACAACATCTATCTATTTTTCTGTCAGTATCCCATCTATCTATCTGTCTATATTTCTATCAATCATCTATCTATCTGTCTGTCTCAGTTATCTATGATATAACTTCTTTTTGAATGTGACTATAATAATCCATCTTGCCCAGTAACCACTCATGTTGGATCCAGTTGGATACTGGTTGATTGTAGCAAGAATTATACTTGAAAGCCTACCTATTTCTTGTTTATTAGAAAGACATAGTATACTCCCAAGAGACTCACTGACAAAAAGAGTCTCATTTATATGGGAGGGAACATAGGAGACAGATGTCAATGTAAGTATTGAAGTGATAAGGACCTCGTAGCATAGATATAATGGTGAATAGGACACAAACTCTAGTTTCAAAGATTGTTTTTTTCCACTTTCAAGGATAATGCATATGATGGAGGTATAGCATTAAATAAAATTGAACTATAAAGAGAGAATATTGTTCTATCGACTATTGAATATAGTCCTTATAATTGGATTATGAAGAAAATTCCAGTCTTTACTAGATTTAATGTCTTAGAAAATAGTGGGAATCCTGAGGCTCAGAAACCACAGAAGAATGTCCAGATAGAATTCAATAATATTATTTTGTGGAAATTTTGTATTTTATGGATATTGTTGTGTCTAGCAATTATAATAGTGATAATAAAAAATAAAAATAAATAAAAATATTCAACAAATGATATGTTACATGTGGTTTGTGTTGTTGTTGTTATTTGCTATCGAGTTGGACCCGACTCATAACGACCCCTCCTTGGGTTTCCAAGGCAGTATCACTATGGAAGTAGATTGCCCAATCTTGTTCCAAGAAGTGGCTGGTGGGTTTGAACTGCCAGCTTCTGGTTTGTGTAGATATGGAAAAACTTGTAAAAGAAATAACCAAACTACTGCCCTTTGGGAAATGCCAAATTAAAATATTTTCTCCTCTCTTATTGTCTACTGTGCTGATAGTTATCATGAGTTATAGATAGAGAGAAACCAGAGAGCAACCCTAGGTCTGCCATTCATACAAAATAGCCAAAGGATAATGGAGCATTTCCAAAGATTAACACACAAAACTGCTAAGCACTGAAAGGTTGGAAGTTCATGTCAACCCAAAGGTGCCTCAGAGAAAGGCTTGGTGATTCACTTCTGAAAAATCAACCACTGAAAATACTATGGATCAGTTCCACTCTGACACCCATGAGGTTGCCATGAGTCAGAGTCAACTCCATTCTAACTGGTTGTTGGTTGATTGGAACCTCTCTTTTAGCAAGCGTTAGAGATTGAATTGTGTCTCCCCCAAATGTATTGTAAATTCTACTATGTTGTCACTAGGTGCCATCAAGTTGCTTCTCATTTACAGAAACTCCATGTACAGCAAAGTGAAATGCTGCCCTGTTCTGTGCCATCTGCACAATCAGTCCTATGTTTGAGCCCATGGTTGCAGCCACTGTGTGCAGTGACCTATTTTGTTGAGGGTCTTCCTCTTTTTCATTGACGCTCAGTAGTGCTGTGGTTAAGGCATTGGGCTGTTAAACAAAAGGTCCATGGTTTGAACCCAGCAGCCACTCCATGGCAGAAAGATGAAGCAGTGTGCTTCCGCAAAGATTTAAAGCCTTTGAAATCCTATGGGGTTTGTTAGAGTTGGAATTAAATTGATGGAAGTGGGTTTGGTTTTGGTTTTGTGGTTTCTACTTTACCAAACATAATGTCTTTCTCTAGGGACTGATCCTTCTTGATAACACGTCCAAAGTAAGTAAGAATGTTTTAGAAATACAAGATAACTAAGACAGCAAGTAATTTTTTTTTTTTTTTTAAGAGAATAATCTGAAACATTTTGTGTTCCCAGATACAGAGCCATTGTAAACCCTATGGACATCCAGACCTCAGAGGCAGTGAAGTGGACCTGTGTGAAAGCTGTGGTTATATGGATAGTCTCCATGCTATTGGCAGTTCCTGAAGCAGTATTCTCTGAAGTGACACTCATTGACAACCCAGGGAATGGCAGCTTTACAGCATGCATACCCTACCCTCAGATGGATGAGTTACACCCAAAGATTCATTCAGTGCTCATCTTCTTGGTCTATTTCCTTATTCCACTTGCAATTATTAGTGTTTATTATTATCATATTGCAAAGACCTTAATTAAAAGTGTACATAATCTTCCTGGAGAATGCAATGAACATACCAAAAAACAGGTAAGCTTGGTAAGTGGGTGTGTGTGTGTGGATTACACCGATCAGGTCCTGCAATTCTTTTTTTTTTTTTTTGTTGTTGTTCTATTTCATACGATCTGAATATAATGGAAGATTAGAACAGAGTCAGAAGTTTCCCTGGGATGAGTACTGGCCTTAATTAGAGGTGATGGGGAATCTGTACTGTGTGGTAATGTCATAGCTCCTAAATGCCCACACAGGTCCAGCCTATTTCTTGTCTGACACTATGACAAGGCCTAGAATTTCACCATTAGGAATTAATGTCTTTGAACATTTTTATTTAAGTGCAAATGTGTGTGCAAGAAACACAATAAACCAGAATTTTCTACATTCTAAGTATACACTTATTAGCTTTTCTCCCATTAGCCCCCTAAAGATGACAAGGAGTCTGGAAGACAGCTGTAGCAGGAGAGAATTCTAAGACACTGTATGGGATTTGGAGATAGGGTGTGAGTGGGGGGTCAGAGTGGGAGACTGAATTTGAAGGAAAAAAAAAAATTGAATCTCAGATCACTAAAATTTACTGTCATACACAGAAGCACCAGCTGGGGCTTTGGGCACTTTAGCATCAGCAGAACCAGATGCAAGTGTCTTATGTGGGAGGTAGCCTCCATTGGCTGAAGTCCATCTACACCAGCAATCCACATCTGCTTTAAAAACTTAAAGCACACACACACACAGATACACACACAACTAATCATTAAAAGAATTGTTAAATGGATTAAAAGATTTATTGTCCCAATATATGACATCACTGGAGCCAAGTGTCCGGGGCATACAGTCACTAAATAACAAATCTGTTGCCACTGAGTTGATTCCAATTCATGGCAAACACCAAATACCATATGTCTCCACTATCTTTTATAATTTACACTCAGTTCTTGTATTTGGAGCCCTGAGATCCAATGTGTATTACAATTTGGATATTTGAGATTTTGCTTTGGTTTTTAAGTTGTGTTTCTCCCTCCACCTCCAAAGTCAACAGTCTGCCTTTCTATGCGGACCTTCAAGTATACATTGAAATAAAATTCTTATGCTCAGCCTCCACATGCCAGAGAGGACACTGCTTAGGAAGAGACATTTCATGTGTGACCTTAGTATTTCCTTTGCCTAGCATGCCGTAGGGATGCATTTGGACGCCTCGATTCTGCTTGCTGAACTAGGACCCTCTTCACTTGTACCTTGGTTTACTTCTCCCAGCCCTGACTCGCTACTGTTCTTCAACATCAAATCTATTCCCATCCTAGCCCTTTCCAGGCCTCGTGACATATTTAAATTAAATGCAGGTAGTTTTAGCTTAGAAAATAAGTGATGCCTACTCTCAATGTCTTTTGACAAATTATGCTTTCATGTTTATGTTGCCTTATTTAGATATTTAAACAAATTAGACAAGTATGAGTTAAATTTTGGACTCTAGATGCTGGTAAATGATTTCTAGATTGGAAAAAAAAAAGATTGATGTTCAATTTTTGAGTTGTCCATTTATCACATTCCTCAGACCTTTTCATAAAACAGTAAAAACAGTATGTAAATTTTAGGAAAAAAGTATTTTATTTTTATTTTTAAAGGTCACCTAACACAGTAAAGGAGCTCTGGTGGTGTAATGCTTAAGGCATTTGACTGCTAATCAGAAGGCTGGCAGTTCAAACCCAACAGCTACTCCTGAGAAAGAAGGTTGGGTAATCTACTTCTGTAGTGATACTTACTGCCTCAGAAACCCAAGGAAGGGTCGCTATGAGTTGAATCTGACTACACGGCAGTGAGTTTTTTTTTTTTTAAACACAGTAATGTTTATAGGACTGAGAGTTACAGCAGAAACTTTTGATTTATATGAGCCAGGAGTTTAAATCTCAAGGTGTTTTTTATTTTTATGTTTTGTGGGGTAAGGATTAAAAAAGTCATACCCTATTTTAATAGATCAAATTTTCCTATTTAAAACACTGATTTTTTCTTTTTTTCCAAATACCTACACTTGAATATCTACTATGGCTCCTTAAGTCATGAGGTTTAATTAAAACAAATTATTTATATTTATACTAAGCACGGCAAGATTTACAAAAGGGAGTTAAAAAGAAGAGAGCAATTATTTTTAAAATCATGTTTTTAACATATGAAATTATAGCCATTTATTAATAATATAAGGTCCCTCCAAAACCCAAACCAAGCTCACTGCCATTGAGTCCATCCCCCTTTGGGTTTCTGAGGCTGTAAATCTTTATGGAAGGAGTTTACCTCGTCCTTCTGCTGCAGAGGCAGCATGGGCTTAAACCACTGACCTGGTTAGCAGCCAAATGCCTTATGCACTAGGTCAGTAGAGCTCCTTATCGGGTCCCTCGCTGGCACAAATCATTTGTGCTTGACTAACTAACCTAACAGCTCACAAGTCAAACCTGTATAATACCAGAGTTGCTTGTCTGCTTTCATGAAGATTACAGCCATGAACACTCTATGGAGCAGTCCCACTATGCTACTTAAAGGGTTGCCGTGGCTCAGAAGCAGCTTGATAGCAATCTTGTTTGTTTGTTTTGTTAATTAATAATTTATCATCTAATCTCATATAAGCTATCAAATATTTTTAAATGTAAATAATATAGTGACCAAAATAGGCTTTGATGAACTGTTAAAATCACCACTTTGTTGAGCACAGTACTTAGTTTATATATTTTTTGATTCATTTGCATGCTATGATGTCATTCCTTTCTTAAGTGTCAGATGTGAATGGCTCTATTTTCGTTTTAACCAAAGCTAAATGTTTTCTTATGTCTTCAGATGGAGACGCGGAAACGCCTGGCTAAGATTGTGCTGGTCTTTGTGGGCTGCTTTGTCTTCTGTTGGTTTCCAAATCACATCCTCTACATGTACCGGTCTTTCAACTATAAGGAGATTGACCCATCTCTAGGCCACATGATTGTCACCTTGGTTGCCCGGGTTCTCAGTTTTTGCAATTCTTGCGTCAATCCATTTGCTCTTTATCTACTCAGTGAAAGCTTCAGGAGGCATTTCAACAGCCAGCTCTGCTGTGGGAGGAAGTCCTACGGAGGGAGATCAACCAGCTGCCTACTCAGCTCTTCAGCAGTGCGGATGACATCTCTGAAAAGCCATGCTAAGAACATGGTGACCAATTCTGCTTTACTAAATGGGCACAGTGTGAAGCAGGAAATAGCATTGTGATTTTAGCCATTCAACTCTCTACCTAGAAAGAACTTACTAACTTTTCTATTTCTGTGGAGCAGAGCAGAACTAAACAATTTTCCCATTCTTATTATTGTTTAGCTGCCTCATTAGATGATTTCATGATTAACAAAGAAAAGGCAAGATAAACACAGACATAGCTAGCATTTTTTTCTGACCAGGTCTTTAATTTTCAGTATTGTTCACATTAAAAGTGATTAAAAAAATCTATCTAAACCCACCAGCCACTCCTTGGAAAGAAGATTGGGCAATCTATTTCTGTAGTGATATGGCCTCAGAAACCCAAGGAGGGGTTGCTATGAGTCAGATCCGACTGGACAGCAGTGAGTTTGGTAGTTTTAAAGTATGTATAAATCAATATCGCTTCAGGATTTAGGCTATTGTTGGAGCCAACTCTGATACATTTACCTTAAATTTTTTTTATCTTGAAGCATGAAATAAATTCCAGTATCGACTCAACTATTCAGTGACAATAATTCAATCTTATTATTTGAAATACAAACATATTTTTCTGATGAATTTTATTCATGACCAGTTTGCATGTATATCTCTTTTATTTGAATAAAATAATTATTTGAAAAAAATAATTCATAAGATGGACCATAATTAAAAGCCAATCACATGTATTGTGATCCTTTGAATGATCAATCATACTTAATAGAAATAGTTTATATATGTAACTTTTAAGTATGTGATTAAAAGATTTGCTGAAATTTGTGTTATGGATAGTTTAAAAGATTATACAAATGCAAAATATGTATCATGTGTCTCTAATAGAAAAACTACACCATGGAAATTAACCCTGTTATCTTTTATGCATTGTTAAGTGTCTGACAGTTTGGATGATTCTGCATGAATGAGATTGTATAATTCTGATGAGTTCAACCATCTACTCATCTTCTCTTGCAGTAGCCACCTGACAAGTATATGGTATATCACTTAGAAAGTTTACTTTTTAAGTTTTCTGTAAGTCAGTGTCTTGGATTTCTTCAGCAAACTGCAAACATACTCACTGCCATTTGAGTCAATTCTGACATATGATCATACATAGTATGATTATACTATATATAGGATCTCTGGTAGCATAGTGGCTAAGACACTTGCCTGCTAACCAGATGGCTGGTGGTTCAAACCCACCAGCCACTCCTCGGAAGGAAGGTTGGGCAATCCTACTTCCGTAGTGATACTGCCTCGGAAACCCAAGGAGGAGTTGCTATGAGTCGGGGCTGACTCGACGGCAAACAACAACAACAACAACATAGTATGATGAAGGAAAGTATCCAATAGTTGCTTTTATCACACACTTTCTAAGTCGAAGAAGAGTTTATGTTTTACACATGCCCACACACATATGTGATTGAATTCATATCACATCAAAATTAGAGCCTAACTGTTGACATTTATTGAATTTTGTATGTGTTTACTTTATATACACTTGGTTTGTCTATCTATCTATCTATCTATCTTAGAAATGTTTATATTAATTTTGGGACATTTGAAAATTCTAAAACAAAACCCCAAACTCCCTGCCATCGAGTCAGTTTTGACTCATAGCAACCCCTCCTTGGGTTTCTGAGGTGGTATTTCTACAGAAGTAGATTGCCCAGTCTTCTTTCCAAGGAGTGGCTGGTGGGTTTGAACCACCGGTCTTCTGGTTGGCAGTCAAATGCTTTAGGCACTATACCACCAGAGCTCCCTTGTTCTTATTATCAAAGAACAAAGTTAAAAGAAAGAAACCCAAATTTATCTATGAAATCATACTGCAGAAGCAAACCAAATATCTAATATGATGCATATTAGCCAGAACAAAAACAAAACTCCTTATCACAGATAACTCCTTATCTGTTAAAATAAAAATATTCAGAGTCAAATAGATCCCAAAGATAATCAATTTCCTGATCTACACAATTCTACCTAGCAGCTCCTTAATTCAAGGAAATATTTCAGGAAAGCATTATATCTAATGTGGTGATATCTGCCATCACAAAGAGAAATTTTACCAAATTATTATTATTGTTAATGTAGATATAGGATATGTCTCCTTATGTGAACCATCTCTTTAAACCGGTAGTAATTTAAAAGAAACAAGAAGATTGGATCCTTGGCATGCTTGGGGCCAGAGAATATTCTCTTTCAATGGTCTCATTTATAAAATGGGTTAAACAACATTGTGAGGTAATTTACTAACATAGATTAGATAATGCAAGTAAAGCACTCCAATAGTGTTCAGTATAGTAAGTGTTCAATAAAGGCGGCTTTTATCATCATGTTTTAAAGTATATTTTCTCATGTAATGAAATAATAACACCTATCCATCTATATTCTTTATAGATGTGCATTTGAACAGCTTATAAAGGAGGCAGTATTCTGATTTCCATTCTGTGGGTGATGAGGCTGAGGATTTATAAGCAGTTAACATAATGATGGAAGAGCTTGATGTTGAACTCTTGTCTATCACACTTTAAATTTACATATTTAATGTCTAGTCAATACTGCTAGGAATATGGAATTCAGATAATTCATTAGAAGATAGAAATTAGCTTGTCAAGATTTTCCTCCTTTGAATGAAGAAATTATTTGAGAATGTAGGGGTCAAAAAAATCATTCTTTGAATTAGTTCTGATCATTCCTAAGACAAAGGATACACTCTGAGCTTCTCATGTGAATGCCTTTATAAAAATAGATTTCATATGTGAAAAAGTGGGATGATCATCTCTGTCCCAAATTTCTCTGTCTGTTTTGTGCATGCTGTAAAAAAGGGGATGCAAAGTAAAAATTAACAGAAATTTTTGTGATATGGAAATATTTATTTTATTTGATAATTTGCTAGTTCGAACATGTATTAAATGTTTTTATGGTCCTGCAGAGTCATAGGAGTCCTGGTGATACAGAGTCATAAAATATTTAATGGATTTTGAACAAGTATAATTTTTCCATTTACTAATATTTTACTACTGACTTCATTACTCACTCGGGAAATGTTTCCATCAAGTTTCTGAGCAATGGAATGTTTCAATGTCAGGCTTCTCTTAAAATAGAATAAGCATGTGTATTTCAACTTCAAATAAATGAACATTTGTGCACGTTTTCCCTAGACTTTTACAAAAAAGGGCAAAGTATCAGTAAATATAGTCAGCTATGGTGTAGAAAGATGAGTTTTGGAAATACATAAAAGAATAAACAAAGTGCTAAATAAAGTCTGGTTATTAATGTATCTTTAATGATTATTGGAGGAAACATTACTTGCATACTGTGGTTACAGAATTTTACACCATTTCATTTGCTAAATTATTTTGTCAAGTTATTTGAAGTGCTCTATTTTTTCCATATGTTGTGTCTCACCAAAATTCCAAGCAAGACATTTTCTTATACACAGAGCCAAATTTTAAGCTGTGCTGGGTAATTTGTGTTTGAAGTGGTACACAGCAGAATTAACCACGATTTCATTTCTGGGAACTAACTCTTCTCTTGGGCAATAAACAGAAATTATTGCCCACTAAATAAATTAAGCCCACTTTGTTGTTGTTATATGCCGTCCATCTTCCTTCTGAGGAGTGGCTAGTGAGTGGGAAAGCCATTCCATCATTCTAGGAGCTCTGGTGGCATAGTGCCTAAGGCACTTGATTGCTAACCAGAAGGCTGGCAGTTCAAACCCATCAGCCGCTCCTCGGAAGGAAGATGGGGCAATCTACTTCCATAGTGATGCCTTGGAAACCCAAGGAGGGGTCGTTATGAGTTGGGTCCAACTGGATGGCATATAAGAACAACAACAACAAAATGGGCTTAATTTATTTTATTTTTCAACTATGAGGAAAAAAGGGCAATTATTTCTGTGTATTGCCCAAGAGAAGAGTTAGCCCACTTAGGGACCTAAAAAAGTACTCTACAAAATATTTCATGATACTCATTGGAACTATTTGAAATGGGAACCTGCAATTGTTTGTGGTATTTTGGCATTGTAGATAACCAATCTGACAATCAAGTACTACCATGTTCAAGTTGTTGCTTTCACGTATTCGCAAAATTTATTTGGAAACATGAACCTACGCTTAAGACTTACACTTTCTGGGGAATGTTAGAAGTCTATTTTCTTTGAATGTGGGGTATTCTTTTGCATTTTCAAGTGCAGAAGTGTAAGTCCTCAGCACCATGACCCATCTTTTAACATTTAGATGTGTTTATTTACATTTATGTATATAAAGAAGCATGGTACTGGATGATGAAATTGATTACTATGCTCAGCTGCTAACCAAAAGTTCACAGATTCCAATCTACCCAGAGGTGTTTCAGAGGAAAGGCCTGGGATCTATTCCTGAAAATCAGCCACTGAAAACCCCGTGGAGCACATGGGTCTCCCTGAATCAGAGTCGACTCAAAGGCAATTGTTTGTTCGCTTACATAGAGAGAGAGTTGTTGTTAGGTACTGTGGAGTTGATTTCTACACAGAGTATCTAAACCAAAACCAAACCCACTGCCATGAAGTTAATTATGACTCCTAGTGACTCCCATTGGGCTTCCAAAGTGGTAAATTTTTACTGAAGTAGATTGCTTCCATGGAGTGGCTGGTGGGTTTGGACCACAAACCTTTCTGGTTAGCAGTCAGATGCCTTAGGCACTGTGCTACCAGAGCTCCTTCACATAGTGTCTAACCAAATCAAAAAGCAAACTCACTGCCTTCAAGTTGGATCCAACTCATAGCAACCCCTTCTTGGGTTTCTGAGGTGGTGTCACTACAGAAATAGATTGCCCAACTTTCCTTCTGAGGAGTAGCTGGTGGGATTGAACTGCCAGCCTCTGGTTAGCAGTCAAGTGCCTTAGGCAGTACGCTACCAGAGCTCCCCACATAGTTTCTAACAGTGTGTAAATATGGTCCTATGAAAGGAGCTAAGGAACCCTGGTGGTGCAATGGTTAAGTACTCAATTGCTAACCAAAAGATGGGTAGTTTGAAGTCACCAGGGTCTCCAGTGGAGAAAGATGTGACAATTTGTTCCCATAAAGATTGCAGCCTAAGAAATGCT